ATGTAGTGTGTTGCACCCAACTGCTCGACTTCTTCAGGAAATCAAACAATCCTCCAGAGCAAATGCCCTCACTGGTCCTTGAGACAATCAATGTCAACTATCCTGCAGATCAATGGCTCCAAGTCTTCACTGATGGGTCATACATAGAAAGCCAAGCAAACGTTGGTGCAGGTGCCTTTCCTGAACTCTTCTCTTTCTACACAGCAGCGGGACATAATAGATTCGATTTTGAAGGAGAAATAGAGGCTATTAGGATAGCACTATGCCAATTATGTTGCCTGGATACGAAATTCACCAAAGCGGTGATACTTTCGGACTCACAGTCAGCAATAGACTCTATTGGAAACAGAGAGACACCCAAAACAGCTGAGATAAAGGAATGTAGAAAACTCTATGAGCTGCTGAGAGAGAAAAACAAAACAGTGCTCCTACAATGGATTCCTGGTCACTGTGGCATTAAAGGCAATGAGCTTGCTGACACACTTGCTAAGAAGGGGACAACGATTTTGAAATGCATGGACCGGCCGATGTCTTCCCACACAATGAAGGCCTTAATCAGGAGAGAATTCCAGACCTCAAGGTTCAACGAACTCAAAGCCCGAACAAAGGAGAAACAGTGGACAGTGGCACTCTCCGACATACCCGACTGGCCAAGAATCGAAGCCGTTGCTGAGTTCAGACTACGTTCCGGACACGATTGCTTGGCAAAACACCTTCACAGATTGGGAGTATACACTCAACCCACATGCCCTCTATGTAACCTACAGGAGGAAAGGGAGAAGACCCACCTGATTCGGTGTCCAGCCCTAAAGACAAGGACGGAAAGCCAAAAATACTGGGAAGCAAGAAGACAGCTAATGAATTGCTATTAATTAACTGCTATAAATGTACCACCCCCCCTCTTGGGGGAAGCTGAAGTCAAAGATTAAGGGCCAATGATAAATATCATAAAGCCTGCCATTTGAAATAAATAAATAAATAAATTTTCTTAAGTTTTGGAAATAACATTTTTTCTTGAGCAAACTAGATATTTCTGATAAGAAAGATAGTTTATTACGTACAGTTCACAGCATTGAAAATTAGTTTGTTTCAAAATTGTTTAATGCACTTGTAAAATGTCCCTGGAAAATATAAAGATTTTAAATTCCGAAGTTGGCTTGTTTGAGCATTCGAACATGAAGTAGTGGACTATATTCAGTGAGTAAAATGCAAATAAGATGTTTGAGAGGATTAAATTTTGCACTTAACTTTATATTTTTCAATCAACTCAACCCACATCATTACACTTCACTTGTGCTAAGATTCCCCGCAGTGATAAATTTGTAATTTGTAATTTACTTTCCTAAACAATAAATGAGAAACAGATCCAATTTTTAGTAATAGAGTTTTGAAAGTAATTTCATTCGTCTTAGCACTCAATAGATCATTCTTGAAGAATTATATGGATATTATTGCAGCATTTAAAATAGTACTTAATGCTTTATACTGTCCCACAAAATAATGGCAATGGTCGGGTATCATCAAGAACAGATTTAATTAAAATCGATAAATCGAACAAAAGTAAATAAAACGAACTTAAGTCGACAATTTTTCGGGGTTTACTAAAGCCACAACCATTGTTTTACTGAAATATAATTATGCACACTTGGAAGAGCAAAAAAGGAAATATTTTAAACCTTAAGAGACGTCAACACACTCCCTGAATAAACGCTCTTCTAATGTATCTTTTTTGAGAGTTCATAGAGCTTGAAAAAAAACTTCGTTTGCCATTTATAATCTTCTTTGTTTTAAATCTTAAAATTATAAGTTAACGTTAAATTTACTTTATGTCAGCAGGCGCAAGGAGTAATACACTCTTAGGGGGGGTGGGGGGGAGGAGGGTAATTTTCCCATATGCACAATAAGATCGCCATACATACCAGTTAATCAAGCGTATTATTATCATTGGGATAAACCCGTATCTGTTGTTTGGACTCCACCACAGAGGGCACAATACATCCCACATAGTTGAGGTAAAAGTGAAAAGAGGAAAATAGGAATATCCAATCAGGACGAAACATACAAATGGGATAGTTCTGCCATGAGATACAGTTAATTTGCAACTACCTCTAACAAAGTTATTGCAACAAAAGTGGATGAAATTATATTGTTCGCGTCTCTCAGTAAATGCGCTATTTCAAGCAATTAATGCCGCTAACAGAGTGGAATTAGACGTGGGTCAATCTCTCAATTTCACCAGTCCTGTTCGTAAGTACTTGCCAGCACACAGAAATGACAAACATTTTTAATAAAAATCAATTTTAAAATAGGTGTCAAAACTACGATAGGAGTATTATCCATAGGCTTCACCCATCAGAAGCTTCATTTCTGTTAATCTGTCAAGTCACTTTCAAGACTTTTTCTTACCCGCAACTACAACATTTTTCTCCAACCGCAGCAAGCTCCGAAGGTGTTCCACTTCCAGTTTAAGTTCACGGATCATGCGAGCATTGGGATCTTCATTAATAACTGCCTTGCAGACTATTTGCTTGGCTCGGTCTGCATAACGCAGAGTTGATAAGGTCTCTTCATAATTCACATCTGCAGGAGAAAGTGTGGCCAGCATCATGGTTCGAGAGTTTCCTCCTAGAAGCAGCATTACAGCATAACAATGTCTTTTAAGATATACACGGTAAAGTTGGATATTCTTGTCAAATATCTACACTCACCCAAATTTTCTCGAAGAAGCCAGGTGAGAACAGAGTCTCTGTAGGGGATGAAGTCGCTTTTCTTCTTCTTCTTGGATGTCTGGAGAAAGTATGGAGTGTGAGGCTAGCTTAATTTATTCCTTGAAGGGACTGTTGGCAAAAATAATCAACTATATTTCAATTCTGATTGGTACTATTGGATGTCTATTAGAATGTAAATGAACCTTCAAACCAAGATCCTGCATAGTTTACCTGCCGGTTGAGAGCCTTCAGTCTCTCCAAATATAGGGCAATAGTTAAAATGAACAGTGGTTGACCTCATTATTAGTAGAAAGGCAACATTAAGTACTACTTAAAAGGAATTAATTGCCTTCTAACTACCAAATCGTTTTCTCCGCCACAATACTAACCTTGTTGCCCTCATTGTCACTTAGCACTGGTCTTTTTTAGTCCTTTCATTTCAAAAGTAGAATATATAAAATAGCTGTACTCTTAATATCATCTTATTGCACCATTACACCACTGCCCAGGTGGACTCGTGTCCAGCCAATTGTCTGTATCTCTGAAGAAAATTTAATTCCTTGGAGTAAAATGGTAAATAATGGCCTCTTATAAACTTATTAAATCAAATTTGGATGGCAGACCTCAAGTAGAATGAGTACGTGAAAGGATGCCAAGCTCTCCAAGACACTAAGAGGAGTGAAACAAGGCAATGAAGACTGTTTTCTTATTTTAATCTGAGTGTACTTTTTCGACTTGCTGCAATAATTACTGTGGGACAGGTCATTGCTTACGCGTGATCGCTTGCGCGCACAATCAATGGCCAATCAGAAGTCTTCGTTTGCTTAAGCGGATCCGCCATGTTGACTGTGACCAACCTTACGGTGTGTACACTTTATCCACAGTATACCTCCTGAATAAACGTATTCCGTGCGATACGTCTGTTTCCTCTACAGCTGGACTGTAGCTTAGCTAGTTCTGGGAGTCTAACTAGATATAGGAGCTTCAGCCATAGAGATTTCTGAGTCAGTCAAGGCTTTACCAGTGCAACAATTTGCTACACTATCGTTACTATTCTAAACAGCAATCAGATTATATTCTAACCAGGGGTGTGCGATAGACTTACCTCCACGTGGTGCACCCTGGGCGACGTATACTCATACTGTATAAAGTCTATTAACTGGCAGTTGACCTCTGACTTCAAACTACCATGAC